ATATGCTATATATTTTCAAAGTGTTAAGTCTTTCATTTTTGTTCTTGCTGTTTATTCGTTGTTTCTGCTTTTGGTTGTTTGATTTTTCAATTTTTCGAATAGTCGATTTTTCGAATTTCTTATTAGTTTATGTTCAATTCTTGAATTATTAGTGTTAACGTGCCAAGTCTTTTTAATTTGTTTTGCTTTTGTTTTTGCTAATAGTTAATCATTGTTTTTGGTTGCCCAATTATTTATACATTGCTTTTTTTGTGTGAGCGAGTGTGTGGGTGTGTGTATGTGTGTGTTCGAGTATTGGATAAATAAATAAATAAATCACGCGGAATGCAAATTAAATTTTCGAATCAAATGCTCACTGCATCACCCTAACGTTTGTGATTTCCCCTGCTCCCGCCGCCCGCCGCCCACCGCCCACCATTGCCTTCTTCGCTTCTGTGTGGAATGAGTTGTGGACCCTGTGGACACAGTGTGGGCCACGTGCTGACTGACGCAGTGCTGGACCAGTGTTGGCATGGCAATGGCACCGCTCCTCTCTCCTCTCCTCTCGCATTCCCATTCCTTTTCCCTTTCCCCTTACCATTCTCTCGTGCTCTCTCATTCATGGTGCTGTTCCTCTTTTTATTACATTTCCCCTTTGTTCGAGTACGCCTAACGAGCGCTCGTTAAACTGCATTGACACAAAAAAGGACAGCACAACATTGTGTTGCTGCCGCCCAGCGTGGCAGAGGCAGAGGCAGAGGCAGCAGCAGCAGAGGCAGAGGCGGAGGCGGAATGGGGCGTAGGGTTGTCAGCAACAGCAACAGCAACAGATAATGGAAACAATGGATCATGAACCTAATGCAACAAATACTGAACAATTTCAACAATTGCATTTCCAGGTTGCGCTCTGGTTCCGATTACGTACGAGTATGTACAGTTGTGCCTGATGTCTCAGTGGGTGTGTGGTGTGGTGTTCTGTGTCTGTGTCTGTGTGTGTGTGTGTGCTAAATACTATGCTAAAAATGTATCAACTTTAACAATTTCCTTTTGTATAACAGTACATCATGATCCTGGAGAGAACCCATAACATGCGTTTGTGTGTGTGTGTGTGTGTGTGTGCGTATGTGCGTGATTGGACAACTGAAACGGGTTTCGCTTTCATTCTTCTCCATACTCCCCCATACTCGATAGCCAAAATTTGGATTAAAGCTTTTCCAAATGGATGTGTATTCGTAAATACCTATGTATTTGTATATTTATACTCGTATTTTGTATGTATTTGTATTTTGTATACTATTTAGCTTTAGTTAAAAATCTCAAAATATTCCTCTTCTGCTCCCCGGCTTGCACTCGACTCCCCTAAGTGTTATACTCTATGTATGTATATCTTTTACCACTACGTTTTATTGCTTTTCGATACACGTTATGCTATGTATAGTTTCTGGATCTCAATATGAATTTGATTTCTCGTTATTTTCCAATATCCTTTGAGCAAAATTAATGAATCTCGTGTGTGTGTCTGTCAGTTGTGTGCGTGTGTGTGTGTGGGTGTGTGTGTGTGGGCTATCACAATATTCGAATTGCTTTGGGTTCATCTTTCATCTTCTCTTCTTACGGCTGTATTTCCATCTAAAATCACTCAGCACAATAATTGTTGAAGAAATAATCAAAATGCACAAGAAACAAATACACACAGAGTCCAGAAAAATCAGGGAAACTATATTCAAAGCATATTGAGAATTAGTTTATAAATAAAAAACATTGTTTTGCATGTAAAGTGTAAGCATATAATATGTATTGTATATTTCTTTAACTTTATATTTTTGTTTTACTCTTTTGTATATTCGTGGTTTTGGGTTTTGGGTTTTGGGTTTACCTTTCGTTTATAGTACAAGTGTGTGCTGCGATTGCTAATTGTAAGTAGTTTCAACCTTACAGTATATGTACTAAGACTAATAATCGATTAACTCGTTTGCTTGTTAAGCTAAGTTATTGCTTTCCTTTCATTTCCTTTCCTTCAATTTCCATTTCCGTTTCTTTTCTTTTCTTTCATTTCTTTTCTCGACTCGCGCTCTATACAATTGTTATACAAAATTTTTAAAATTTAATATTATTGCCGGACTTCAATTCAATTTCAATTCAACATTCTCATAATGCAAATTTCATAAATATTCATTATATTGTTTTCATTTCAATTTCAATTTCGATTTCAACTTCAATTTTTCTTTTCATTTTCATCGATTACCAAAAAAAAAAAAAATAAATAGATCATAAATAATAGGCTACTATTCCTAAGTAACTAGGTATATGTATATTAAATATAGTTAATTGTAATTTTAATTGAAATAATTGTAGTTTGTTTTGCGTTTTGCATGGGGTTCGTTTTTGAGTATTGCTTTGGTACTTTAGCCGATTTCGATTTCGATTCGATTCGATTAATATTATTGCTTAAAAGGGTTGTTGCCACCTCTCGCATCTCCCTCGTCTTTGTCCTCCTCCTCCTCCTCCTCCTCTTCCTCCTAATCATTCTCCACCTTCTTCGTATTCCTCGTCCAATCAACAGTATAAAAATAATTTCGTGATTATATACTAGTTTAACTTACGCGTACATATCTGAATACTATACCCTATAAGTGTATATATGTATGTATATGTATATGCTTTGTAAATATTACGCAACTACATACGTATTCTAGATGTATGTATATATATATATATATATATATATATATGTATATATATATAGATTTCTATCGTCCTCTTTCCCCGCTTAGACATACCAACAACTGGGTTTGGTTTGTTTTCGGCTCTGGGTCGCTCTAAACTTGGCTACAACTATGGCTACAAAATGTTCGTTGCACTTCGTTATTCCCCCACTTCGTCTTCATCATTGAGATCGGTTGCTGAAGCTGATTTCAGTTGATTATATAATGTGTGTGTGTGTGTGTATATAAATGTATGGATGTAAAATGTAAATGAATTAAGTTCTAATATTTACAGAATTTGTGCAGCGATTTGTTATTCGTTATTTATGATGTGTGTGTGTGTGTGTGTGTGTGTGTATAAGTGTGTTTGTGTGGGTGAGCTTGTGTGGGTATGAGTGTATGTATGAACGAATGAATAAGTGATGGAATGGAATGATGGAATGATCGAATGAAACGTATATTGAGTTACAGTTACATAATGTTGGGTTAAGTAATATCGTACTAGGTCGGTTAAGTTGTTGAAAAGTGCAAAGTATTATTCACGCATGGACGAAGTGTACTGTTAAATGCTTGAGATTGAGACTAGATCACACTCGATACTCGGTATTCGATACTCGATATATTCGCTTCTGTTATTGAGAGGGGCGCTCTTAATGCGATCGAACACGATACGATTCTTTGGCCTTGGTCGCTGGCTGTACTCCTAATTGGGCCTCTAACTGAATGCAATGTTCTTTACTTTTATAACTTGGTTCGAAAACAGGGAACTGGGAACTGGAAACTGGCTTTGGTTTTGGTTTTGGTTTCGTTTTTTTTTGGTTCGTTCAATCGATATAATCAATCGATAGAAATGATAGGTTTTTGGTTTTGCTGTTGGACAGCGACTAGATGTTCACTTCAATCGTGAGTATTCTCTATAATAAATAATTGTGTTCCCCCCTGTTTCTCCTTGTGGGGTCTTGGAATGCTAATTGACTAAAACGTATGCTCGTTGGATATAAATGGAGCCTTTCCGGGCAACTGGGAAACTGGGAAACTGGGAAACTGTGGGAACCTCTTAAACTGGGGAAAATGAAAAGTCAGCCCAAAAGTCAGAAATCCCCTCCTCTGCCATGCTCTTCTAGCCTTAAATGAGATCGGAATGAACTAATGGGTTCGGGGGACAGGGGACGGGTAGGGACGGTACCTATATGTATATTTATGTGTTAACGTGATGATGCTTTCTACAAGGGTTAATATGAGGGTGACGGAGCCGGCTCGCATACGGAAAACCCTAATGTCGAACCGATTCCAATACCTGGCTAATATTGCTTTGCGTTTCGTTAGTTTTGTATTCAATTTTTGATTAATTTGTTTGTAAGTTGTTTTGTGTCGTTGTTAATATCGAATCTAAAAATCTTTGAGTGCTTAAATGTCCGGCTACTGCCCGTTCAGTTGCTCTTAGTTTTGGTGACTTAGTTTAAAATTGTTTGTTTGGTAGGTAGCCCCCCACCGAGTGGGGCCACCACTCGTAATATCTGCTTATAGATAGGCTGCCCTTAAGACCTAATTCGTTGTTTGAGAAACATTGCATTTGCTTTTGTAATTCGTTGCATTAATTTTAATCACTTCGTCTTCGTCACGTTGTCGATTAAGGAGTTAGAGTTAGTGTTTAGCTTTAGAGTTAGAGTTAGAGTTAGATTTAGATTTAGAGAGATAGAGAGATATTTTCCTCGAGCTATAGCTACAGTTAGATTTAGGGTTAGGGCTAGGGCTAGGGCTAGGGCTAGGGCTAGGGCTAGGGTTAGGGTTTGGGCTAGGGAGTGTCCTTGGAGAGTTATAGACTTAGAGAGAGAGAGAGAGAGAGTGTGTTAGAGAGAGAGAGTTTTGGAGATTAAAAACTTGCTTTTGCATCAGCTACAGATTATATAGTACACTCTATATAGTATATAGATATATCAGTATATACCAGTATATATGTATGCTTTGGTAAGTAGTAGTTTGGATAGATTAGATAGCTGCGCTCTGGCATAGAATTACTTAGTTTTGTTCAGGTTTACGGAATGCATTCGGTATAGCACCTCATACACAAGGCTCTCTGTGTGTGTGTGTAATCGTGTGTGTGTATTCGTGTGTGTCGTGTATATATATATATATTTGTATATATATATGGAATGTGGGGCTAGGAATGTTCAACTCTTCAATGCTTTACTTTCTAAGAAGAACCAGATTGGATTGGTTAGGTGTTTGCTTTTGTTTGTTTTTGTTTGTTTGTTTGTTGGTTTTTTTGTTCGATTTCTTGTCGTTTTGCTGCCTAACGTGTCTAATGCGATTTTCTACAGTCTCTGTGTTACTCTACTACACTTTGCTTTTGGACGTATTGTGATGTATGCATCGTATTCGTATTCTATAAAAAAAACTGCTATCGGTTAGCCTAGTTGTAAATGGTAACGGTAACTTTAACATTAACGGTAAATTAACTAACCAGCACTGCAGCCCTGCAGTCCTGCAGCCCTGCAGTCCTGCAATCCTGCAGCACTGCCATCCTGCAGCCATTACTGCAACTTACTCAACATTACATTCCCGCATTACATGGCATAGGTGTTGCCACCCAGTCCCGATCCTGCCCCGCCATTGGGGCACTCCACTTTGACGCGCTCGAGGAACTCGTGCGGGGGCGAGGAGGCCATGCTGGCGCCACTCTCGCTGTTGCTGTCGCCGCCGTGGCCGTGCAGCGACATGGCCATCATCAGCTCCTCCTCGTCCTTGAGGCAGGCCGACTCCAGGTGCTTGTTGAGGTACGACTTGAGCGCAAACGTCTTGTGGCAGCGCTTGCACTCGAAGTTCTTGTCGACGGAGTGCGTCTGCATGTGGGCGCGGAGGTTGGAGCGATCCGCGAAGGCCTTGCCGCAGTGCGCACAGCCGTACGGCTTCTCGCCGGTGTGGGAGCGCAGATGGCCTTGGAGCAGCCAGGGGCGCGAGAAGAGCTTGCCGCAGACGCCGCAGCTGTGCGAGAGCTTGTGCGTCAGCACGTGCATGGCCAGGGCCGGCATGGACACGTACGCCTTGCCGCAAGTGTGGCACTTCTTGGCCGACTGTGAGTCCAGGGAGCGGTGCGTCTGCTTGTGGCGCGACAGGTTGCTTGATGTGGCGTACTGCTTGCCGCACTCGGAGCAGGTGTACTTGGTCTTCTGCTGGTCCTGCACCACCACGGCGGCCGGATCTGCCACATGCTTCCGCTTGGAGCGGCCGTCGCTCACGAAGAAGGCCTCGTAGGTGTAGGCCACCGTCTTGGCCGCCTGCGTGCCGCCCGCCTCCCCGTCCACCGACCCGCCGTCGCAGTCCTGGTTCGTGTTGGTCGTGTTGCTGTTCTCGTTTTGCACGCTGCTGCCACTGCCGCTGCCGCTGCAGCTGAGGATGCTCCCGTGGCTGCTGCTGGCCGGGCTGCTGGGCATCGCGTGCTGGGAGCTGGCACTCGAGGCGTTGCTCGAGGGGCGTTGTTCGTTCACCGCGCTGGCTGCAGCAGCCAATTCGGCAATCGATGACGTGCTCCGTAGATGCGCATGCGCCTCGAAGGACGCGGAGTGGGAGTGGTTGTGGACCAGAGCGTGCTGCTGCTGCTGCTGCTGCTGCAGGGGCAAGTGATGCGAATGCTGTTGATGATGCTGTTGATGCTGTTGATGCTGTTGATGCTGCTGCTGTTGCTGTTGCTGCTGCTGCTGCTGCAGCTGGTGTGGCTGCGTGGGCGGATGGAAGGCGGTCGAGGCGCTCAGGTCCAATATGGCATGGGCCGCGTGCAGGTCCTCCTCGGCCGGGATCCGCTTGCGGTAGCCATGCGTCGGCTTGTCGTCCAGCGAGTACGGCCGGTAAATGTCCTTCTTCTTGGGGGGCAGCGACAGTGTGGCTCCCGTGCTGCTGAAGCACTTGCGCTCACTCGATGTCTGGCCGGTTTCCATCTTGATGTGCGGACTGTAGCGGTCCACCATCCGATCGCCAGCGCCGCTGGGCGAGCACGAGGGCGACGATGTGGTGGACGACGGCGGTGTCTGGTACGAGGCCAGATGCTGATCTCCGGCGGGACTGCTTCCGTTGCCGGAGGCGGCTGCCACCAGGGCTGTGGCCGCGGCACGGATGACGGTGATCTCGCTCTCCATTCGGGGCAGGTACGCGGTGTAGTGCAGCGGGGACAGTTCGCGGGTGTAGCCTGCAAAACGCGAGACGAAAGAGAGATGGATGTGGGTTAGTCTTCTGTGGGATGTGCTAGAAATGTGCAACAGTTAGACAGAAAGAGAAGCTCACTGTTAGGGTGATCGGGTATCGGGTCCCCAAAGGTATGCTATAAATATTGCTATTAATCAAAGGGCGGTTTTCTTGGATTCTTCTACTATTTCTTCTTCCATCAGATATTTTTGAAAGATGCAAATCCTGGATGGAATTCGAATAATTCTGTACTATTTTGTGGCGTTGTGTTTGTTTTGAATACATTTTTGAAGGATTCTATGATGTAGAAATGACTCTTGTTCTTTACTCATTTGAAATCACATAATTTATCTTTGTTTTACTCTCATGACCTTTCTCCAATTGCCGAGTGGCGAAAGTTATGCCCGAAAAGGAACGTGAATTACCTTGGGCTCCCCTTGAAGTGTGGCCTGCCGCCCGGACGGGAATGGGAATCACAAACAGCATTGAGTGACAACAAAGGCAATTAAATGGATTCTGAATTGTTTCGCAATCGAACAATGGTCGCATCAATGACAGCGATTACGTGCTTTCCCCGTGGCATGCTACGCCCGCACCCCGCACCCCGCAACCCACAGGCCACCCATCGGTCGCTCACTCTCTTTTATTTTGGAGAAAGTTTCCTGCGGCAAACTTACCGTTGTAAACATTGCTGGCCACTCGCGTCGCCGCCTCCGGCGAGTGGGGTGGCGGACTGGGCGCCGTGGTGCCCGCCGTGGGGGAGCTTGGACCCCAGCACTTGGCCGATGTCGTGGTTGTTGCTGTCACTGTTGCTGTTGTGCTCTCGTTGCTGTTGTTGCTGTTGCTGTTGCTGCTGTTGCTGTTGCTGTTATTTGTGGCTTCTGCGGCGGTGGCTCCTGCTGCTGTTGCTGCTACTGAGGCAATGGTTGTGCGTTGTTTTTCCAACTTGGTCAGAAATTTATCGCCCACAACATCGATCTCCTCGTCATCGTCGAGGGTGGAGCGACGCGATTTGAGATGCGATAGATCTTCATCTCTGGAAGTAGTCGATGTATTTGTGGCATTTTGCTGCTGCTGCTGCTGCTGCTGATGCTGCTGCTGTTCCTGCGACTGTTGTGTATTGTCCTCGGACCGATCCAGCCAGGGATAGGCCTTCCATTTCTTCGCTATCAGGCAACGCGGCATCTTGGCTAACGGAAGCGGTAGGGGTAAAGCTGAAGGCAGGGGCAGGGGCAGAAGCAGAGGCAGCGGCAAGGGCAGCTGTGAGGCTGAGGCTTAGTGTAGGCTGCTGGAGGAGCGTTGGATGTCGGATCAGGTCGATCCAGAGCGGTAGTAAAGTGCTGAAGCGAGATTCGATTTTCGAACGAGCAAAGACCGTCTGAGGGGTATTCGTTTGTGGCAAAGCGGAAAGGAAACGTTGCTGATTTTATTTCGCAAGAACTGATGACGCATGTGAAAATAGATTTGGCTCGCCGAAAGTATCTTAGAGATTTACTTGTACAGGTTGTCGGGACTGGGCATACTGCCGTCTCTCGTCTCTTCTCCCGTTTGTTCCTCCTTTTAGTGGGTTCGCATTTTATGGATTGCTTTTCTGCTTTCTGTTTCGTTTCTTTAGATTTGGTTCACGTTTTACGGGTTCGCTTGGGTTTCTTGGGTTTGGTTTTGCAGTTGCTTTGTTTCTGTTTCTGTTGGTTAGGATTCCTCGGATTTCACAGCCTCTTTACATATTTCTGCGCTTGATTTGTTGCCAGACCTGGGACCCAGACCCGTATCCGTCATTAAGTTGGAGTTGAAGTTGAAGTTGGAGCCACGTTTTGGGTCAATCCTCGGCACTGCTGCTCTCCTATACACGGACCCGGGGACACAGACACTTTCACGTACACGGACACGTACACGGACACGGACACGGACACGTTCGCGTTGGCTGCGTGTGGCTTATCGATTTTTACATTTGCGTTTACGTTTACGTTTGTTTTTACACGAAATGGACTCAAAACATAACGGTTTCGTATGGCTGCGGGGTGGTGTCCTCTCTTTTGTGGGGAAATTTCTCCGATTTGGGTCTGACTTGCGAGTATATATCCTTCGGATATGGCTTATTGCTTCTTTTGTGGCTCGCTTGTTGGTTGTTTGTTTTTTTTTTTGTTGTTGGGAAACAATTTGAAAAAAAAACTTTATCGAGTCAAAAAAAATGTTTATACAGAAAGTATAGCTTTAGTTGTAGTTGTAGTTTTAGTTGCAGTTGTAGTTGTAGGCTTAGTGGTAAAGGTTAAGTGAGGTTGACGCGAGTTGAGAATAGTTAAGTTTTTATTATTGTTGTTGTTGTTGGTAGTGAAAAAATTGATTTAGGAGAAAATATAATATTATATAAGATAGAGAAGAAATGCGAACGAACCGAATGCTTGAATGCTTATGAGCACCAACTGAACGAAACCGCGCTTATAAGGGTTGTCCGAATGGGGCGGCAAGGCCGTTTTCAGCTACACCCGCCGCAAATGTTGCCGTGTTGCCGACTTAATGTTGCTGCAAATCGTCCAGATGTTGCTGGCAGCATACACTGAACGAAGGCCCGAAGCGCCGCTTCTAAGGGTGCCGAACGACACGAAGCCGCTGCGAGAGAGCGGAACGGAATGGCAGAGCAGTGGAACACAAAAACACAGCCCCTAAAATGCCAACCCCCAAGAATGGAACCGTAGCTGTTGCTATTGCTGTTGCTTGTCGGCAGGGCAGTGGCACACGTTGGAAATTATTCAATTTCTGTAAAATCTATATGAAATTTACTGAAATTCCATTGAAACTCTACCGTCAAGGCGTGCTTTCATCCTGTATAGGTCTTAGAGCTAAATTTTCAATGCAAATCAGAGTCTTTAAGCTCGTTATATTCGACATATTTGACGGTGTAGAGCCTCCCCGGGCGACACGGCAACAATCAGGAAGTGTTTCATTGACCAAACGTTCCCCATTTCGTTTCCATTTCGTAATTGTTGCGCCTCTCTCTGGCGCTCCTTGTCTCAGGACATACCTGAATTGGCTCATGGCTCTTTTGGCTCGGGGCTCGGGCCTCTTGCCCCTCCCCTCCTGCTCCTGCTCCTGCTGCTGCTCCCTTTTGTTATTGAGCATTACAGGGTGGATTTTCGCAACAGCCTGCCCTGCCGTCTCGTCGCGTCGCTCACAGAATGTGGCAGTTGTGCCGAGTTAATTGCTGTTGCATTGCATTTGTTGCTCCGTTCTGATTTTCAACAAATTGCCAGCGACGGCGACGCCTGGGGAGGGGGAAGCAACAGTCCTGGGTCCTTGGTCGTTGGTCCTTGGTTCTAACTCAGTTAGTACAAGATAAACAGCAAACTAACTCCTGTCGCTCTATGTCCCTGCAACGCCCTGCTGCCATGCCCCTCCCCCCCATGTCCTCCACATCCTCCATATCCTCCATATCCTCCATGCCCTCTATGTCAGCTTGGCTCTCCACTGGGCATGAATAAGTGGTTTACTTTCTGGATCAAAGGTCGGGATGTGGACTCAAATCGGTCTATGATTAATTGCAGACCGGACAGAGTCCGTTTTGATTGACAGCTGGATGTGTCATATGTCACACTCAGAAAAATGAATGCTTTCCAATTTCGAGCCACGATTCCTGTCCAAATATTTACAGTAAAAGTTTTTAAAGATTTCGGTCAAGTAAAAAACGGGATATACCCGTATGCATATAAGTAGGAGATTCGATAGAGTAAAATACGGCAGTTCCGTCGTTATACGGCATATAACTTTCATATATGTATCCATATCCATATCTGAAGAATGTAAATATGTACATACTATATACATACGCGTACTCGTGTGTATGTATTGGTACATAATCTGTTCAACCTCGTAGTAAGACTCCACACACAACAACAGACTAATTAATTAAAGTGGAGTTTTGGATTGGCAGAAGGGCTATAAGGGCTATGAGGGGCGTAAGGGGCGTAAGGGGAGTCGCACAAGCGGGTCTGCATAATTAGACACTTAAATTACAAAGTTCTTAACCTTTTAATTAGCCAGAGACAACAGACAATTTGTCTGCTCCGACTAACTTTCGCAGCGTAACAGAAATATCCAACAGACAGCTTCTGCAGTGTGGATGAGGTTTCAGGACTTTAAATTCCATATTTTTTTATGGGAATTTCGTTTGGGTTTTCTATGGTATCCCCGCTCCGAGGGGCCTTCCGTTTGCTGCTCCCCTTCCCGGAATCGTGACAGATGCAACCTCTTTTATACGGTTTCGCTGTTTAAACAGTTTCGAATTTGGAATTTTGAATTTGGAGGAAAGCCAAGAAGTGCCCTGCAACCAATCTATCTACGAGTATCTACGAGTATATCTATCCATCCATCTAGCGGACATGACAGTCGACTGTAGGGTCAGGGCCATAAGGACCTCTTCGGGCATTCCTTGAAAATGAATGTCTGTATGTAAATATGAATGCTAATGTAACGTATAGGCCATCTGTGGAATTCGACTGCACTAATTACAACAAAGAATGGGGTTCGGCACCTCCCCCTCCCCCCCTAGAAATGGAAATGGAAGCCCTACGTATGCGCTTGGGCGTTCAGGCCCTGCGCCCTGGGTAGGTCCTTGTCACTTTGAGAAAACCACTCGCACGGCACACGGCCTCCTTCTAAATGGTAATCTGCTTTCCCTGCCAACGGCCAACAGACTTGAAGGCGAATGTGGAACAAGATGCGCTTTACACAACCCACAACGAAATTGTTGCGCTTCGTTAGCCGCACTCCTCCACCCAGGACCCAGAACCCAGAACCCAGGACCCAGGGCCGATCCTTAGATCGCCGTTGGCCACGCGCACTCGCTGCCGCTGCCACTGCCGCTGCCACTGCCGCTGCCACTGCCGCTGCTGGCGTTGCAGATGTGGAGGCAGTGAGGCGATTCAAGCTCTGGCCATAGAGCATTCCATATAGCGTATAGCATATGGCTTTGGCTGCCGAATTGGAACTTACTCGTAGACACGCGTCACGACAGGAAAGCAACGACCAAATTATGCAGCCGGCAGCAGCAGGAGCAGGGCCGCATGGGCGGACAGAGGGAGGCGCTCACCTGGAACAAGGACAATATGGTTAATGCAGCGACAGCGCCTTTCCTGTTTCATGTTTTACGAGTAGTTCTGCATACTATGTGGTGTGTACTACCCAGCGTAGCTATTAGTCTTTGTTTATACCTTTTTTATACCCTTCCCGGGGGTGCTATAGCTGCGCCCAGAGTTTAACGACATTAAAGCGGAAAGTACCGCCCACGGTAGAGAGGACTTTTCTTCTTGATCAGTATTAATCCAAGCGATAGACATAGGTACATACATATATCTCCACAAAATCCATCAGCGAATATTCATTAATATCTGATATTCCCTTAAAAATTGATAAAACACAAGGGCTACAAGGGCATTTGGGGTTTCGGTCTGTTAAAGCTGGTCGGTCCTCACGGGGTAGTGCTTTTTAGTTTATTTTGCTTTTAGGGGGGTGCACCGGGGGGAGCACTAAGAGGCTAAGCAAAGGTGCACCGCAGCCCCGTTGCGGGGATGCAGTTGAGCGCGTTTGCGAGCGTGCAAAAAGCAGCAGCCGCACCAGGACCAGGACGAGGAGCTGTAGCTGGAGCAGGAGCAGGAGCAGGAAATGCTCTACAAGTGCTGCAGCTGGCCCAGCTGTTGGCTGTTATGGCTTTTCCTTGGTGATTTTGGGGTGCACCATGCCATACCCCACACCCCCACACTCCCATACTCCCACTACCACTCCCATCACACTCCCATACGTACAGACATGCATGCAGTCCCTATTTGGCTTGTCAGCTTGCCAAAGGCTATTTGGCGTTGCCTAGCACTGGCTCAAACTACGACTATTACGGGCTCCCACTCTCCGTTGGCTCTCTGTCCGTCTCTTTCTATATAACTCACTCCATCTCTCTCTCACATGAAGTGTGACGCTCGCGTGGCACGGAAGTGACGGCGGCAGCTGTAGCCGAACTATAACCAGAAACTGTTGATCCTTTCCTCTGCCTCGCCCTGCCGCCTGCCCAACAGCACCCAACAGAACAGAACAGAACAGAACTCAAAGGCAAAGGCAGGAGGCAGGAGGCATTAGGCATGAGGCATGAGGCATGAGGCAGAGCCCAAGCGAGCCAGGTGTCGGTGTCTGGCATGCTC